CGCGCTGACATGAAGATTAGGAGATGCAGGATGTTTATGTCATTATCGCCTAGCCGCAGTCGTCGGCCGATCTTCCTTCTTCCCCTGTCCACGCATTGCCCAAAATGATTGCGCCAGGCATCCTACTGGGCCACTTGGCACGATCATCAGTCGTCAGAGTCGAATTAAGCCCTCAACGGTTTCGCGTAAGCTGTTTGAGCTCTGGATGGCCCCCTTTCCAGCCCCCCAACATTCCCATCCTCCTACAAGCCAACGTGTTTTGTCCCCCCCCCTCGAGCCGCTAGTCCACGAAAGGGGAGTGAACTGGAATCTGGATCCTAAGGTGGATTTCTCTGCGTGTTTGCAACGCCGCTCACTCGCATTCTGGGCGCCAATGCCGCCACTTGCCTGCTTCCGTATATTTTCATGGAAGCCCCAAGCACTAATCAACGAATTAAAGCCCGCAACCCACACATAGACTTTGTAATGTGGCGTTAAACCAAAGTTGTGGGTTTCGTGGCTCGGTGTTGCCGCGAAGACTGAAGCTTGCCGACACTCAAACAGTACATTCCTGCAATAACCCCCTACACCCTAAGCCTTGCAAGCTGTAAACCTCTACAACCCCAAAGCCATAAAACCGCAAACCCTGAACCAACTACTTGCAAGACATGCTTAGGTGATGCTGCCTTTTTCCGCGCGGTTGCCCAGCCCTGCTTTCAATGTCGAGGTTTTGGGCTTTCCAAAGTACACCTCAAGGCTTATAAAGAGGGCTTGCAGGCTTCATATCTAAGGTTTAGAATTACAGGATATTTCAGGGCTTACAAGATAGAATGGGGTTCGGGGATAGGGCCGGACAGGAGTAACAAAATCATGTTAACCTGTAGACCCTAAAAAGCATTATTGATCAGGCTTATGTGTTTTTGTTTTTGTTTTCTTTACATTTATCTTCAATGTTCGTGTCTTTTAGGCTCAAGCAGACCAGAAGCCGTTGCATGCTCAAGGGCACTCCACGTGACTTTTTTGCACAGGATCCCAAGTACTTGGCAGGCCGTTGGGATACTTTGCATTTTCTCTATTGGGTTTGAAGAGGATTCTATTTAGGATATTTTTGTGAGGGTTTAGAGGGCAAACCCCTGTCAAGCTTCTTCAGGCTGAAGAAGCTTTGAGAAACAACCGCCCCACAAGGTGGCCTACCTGCAGATCCGGGCAATCGGTGCACCGATTGAGCGCGGCACCTCTGTGGCCACCTCCTTCTGCTTGGCCGAGAAGGACTTGCAACACTGGCTACTTGCCCTCCCCCCCCCTCTCCTCCCACTTGCCCGACTTGCTCTGACTTGCCCCTTGTGCCCCGTCCCTCACTCTTGTGTACGTCTGCCAAAGCCGACTTCTAGGGCCTTCTCCCAAGCCCTCAAGCTTCACCACCAGAGTGTGATAAACACCAACACTAAGACTAAAAGAATGCCTCTAAACCCGTAAGCCCTAAACCATGCTCAGGATGGCACCACCCCACTCTTCGTAACCCTGGTTGGTCTGGTCCAACCGCCAAGAGGGTTGACAGGGTTTGTGGGCTTGGTCTGCTTTGGGGGTTTGGGGGGAGTGAAGGGATGCGAGGGGGCGCTTGGGGTGAGGATTGGATGCCGTCTGAACCCTAAATGGTTCAAAGTGTACTGATCACACTGGAAATCCACACTAGCCGCAGCTGGAGTCCTCAGAGTCTTTGCAGTAATAAAAAGATAATAAGCAAACCCGATCCAATCCCAAGCACCTCCCTTTGGAAGTTCTGGCACCAGATACGGACTGTCGCAGACACGAGTAGGCCAGGTAGCAACAAGTTTCCATCGTTAAGCTGTCTGTAGCCATGAGCCCGTTAGACCGGCGCGGAAGCCCTGCACAAACGCAACGTCAACTACACAGGCGACAACATTGATGTGCACGACAGCCAGGTGGCAAACATCGTTCTTGACTGGCTGTTTTGCCCAAAGTGCCCGGGACGCTCCTCACAGCAAGCTGTGCTCGTTTGGCATATAGGTAGTTCGATGAGTACCTATGTAAAGATAAGAGCTGTAGTGCCCTGAAGCAGCCGATGTCCAAGACAGAGATGTCGATGCTTTGGCAGCTGGCACTAGGATTTGATTTGGTCCACATAATCATAGGAAGGAGCCTGCGCAGCTCCTTGTTGTGGGCGTCACTGTGTCGGTACTCAACCTGGAAACAGAGTCACCACCACAAGGATTGGCCCCAGAAGTTTCTCAAAGCCTGCAGCTTTGCCCCCCCCCCCCCCCCCCAAACCCCCAAATCTTAATTTGAAGGAACGCTCACCCGCTAACCCACCAGTTAAGCCCTGTAAGCCCTCAGCCTTGAGAAAGCTGCACGCTCGGAAATAGGTACGGTCTAGCTGGCGTCGCCGGTGCCTCCGTCGTTGCCTCTGCGTTGGGCTATGGCACGGTGCTGAGGAGAACCTGGTAGAGCGTCGATGTGTTTGTAGATCCCCTTCCGGGTGTCCCATTCTCGCTTCAGCACTCCAGGCATGTCACTCGAGGTCGAAGGGTCGGCCCCATAAGACCTGCTCTCCATGAAGCACCCCCCCCCCCCACCTCCTTCAGACTGAAGTGGTACAACTTAAGCCTTGGCCCAGGGTATCTGGTGGCCACCCTCGTTCAGGCCTCGTGACTCCTGGCAGGGATTCCTTTTGACGGATAGGGCGTGTGTATTCTGAAACTGTGAGAGAGAGAGAGAGAGAGAGAACAGGCCAGGCACAGAGACTACCCGACTACATGGTCTTGTCTGTCTCGCATGCCAACTCATGGACCGAGCCATCATACTAATCCGTGTCTTCTCAGGAGTTGCTTCGCTTGTTGGGCGGCCTAAGCTGAACCCTCTGAATCCAACGCGACGGAACCATAACACTCCCAGACCCGAAATCCATCCAGAAAGAGCCAGGCGAACAGATGGCCTCGACCTTTCACGTGGCCACGGAAAGGCCATCAGTTGGAATTTTGGGGGGCTTCTGGGATCTACGAGCCTTGTGGGCTGGGGGTAGCGAACCCCTTCCAGGGTTCGGAGGTCGTGAATTAAAACCCCAGAGTTAACCCCTAAACTCAGTCTTGGGAGGCTTCTGGTCGAAGTTGAAGGCTTGACGTTTTCAAGTTGAGTTGCGGAGATGCTGTCGTGAGTTCGGATTGGTGGGACACGGTTCTTGTTCAAGATTTAGAATTTTGTGTGTAGCCAAGATTACGGTGAAACGAGATCGCCTATACCCCACTGACAGAGGTCCTACCACGGCAATGGGTTTAGGAACATGTCAATCGTGAAGCTCAGAACTTAGGGCCGGCTTCTTTCACAATATCTTCCGCTTACTTCGTCAACGTAAATCAGTTCAGGCCACCAAGAGTGTCATCGCTTCCCAACTATGCATACTTTCTGCCGTGTATATGGTTTAAACTCCGAAACCCTCAGCCCTCCTTTGTTTGCTCAAGACCCCAGGTCGAAACTCTACACCCAGCAGAGTTTTTTGCGTCTGCTACAATCTAGCACATCACTCAAGCCTCAACTCCTCTTCCCTGCCCAGCGCGGCACATGCTGCCCTTTCTGCGATTTGCTGGGCCAGTGCCCCCTGAGAGTTGGGGCTTTGCATTGCAGATTTTGCAGGGATTGGGTCTGGGGTCTTTCTCACCTGTAGAGGGTCTGCAGAGAGATGCTGGTAGCTTGATGCCCTTGTTGAGGGAGCCGTCTTGTGGAGTGAGCCAGCTGTGGGTGCAACTGACTACATATATTGTTGTCATTCTTATCGTTGTCATTGCTCCCCCACCCATTTACAACATCATATTATATATATATAGAGGTACAAATGTCTATGGACAACTTCCTAATCACCTTTTTCGCCGCGTCTTCTCCAACATCCGGTTCAGCCCCAGAAGATGACATGCAACAAGGCCTTCTTCGAGAGCTACCCACAAGAGAATTCTGTCCAAACAGAGGATGTTGCGCCCCTCTTACCCAAGCGGACATGGGCAAGACCCTGTATGGCACCATTCGCGCTCATGTGTGCAGACCTCGTTCCAAATGGGACACTCATGCATTATAACCATGAAACCTCGCACACGAAGCCCCAAAATACCTGTAATCCTTGGAATGCACGGCGCCATGCAGCATGGCCATCGGCTGCCTCCCGGGACGGTCCAGAGCTATGAAACCGGGTCAGCTGACCTTACAGGGGATTCGGTGCCTTAGCCGCCCTTTTGTTCGGATGTCTCACAAGTCCCTGCATCGGGTCGTCCTGACAATCATCATGACAGTTCGGAACCAAACACTTATGCTAAAAACTTGATGTGTGTGCGCTGGACCCATGTTGCCAGAGCCTTTGAAAGAAGGGACTCAGACTGCACAAGGTTTCAAGCTGCCTCCCTGAAGCCACAGGCCACGGACACACTGTACCCTTCTCTAAACATTGGACTGCCAAAGCCTCACATCTCAGCGCCTTTGAAAGCTCAAAAATCCAATCGGGAACCAGGAAAACCAAGGCTCTCTCGTTGAGACCATAAAGGCAACTCCCGACCCGCCCCCAATTCCCCCCCCCCCCCCCCCCCCCAACAAGAAATTGAAATGACACAAGCAAGTGCACGATGCACGACCAAGGCCAGTGCCTGCCGCAACGCCACAGCATGCGGGGGGGCAGAGGCACCCTTGCAAAGAGCTTGCGCAGTTCACCTGTTTGTGGGACCATGCCCTTGCAGCCCTTCTGCAAACTTCCTAGGGTCAAGTCGATGAGATCACATATAGATGCACTTGTGCCCGCAGCGAACTTGCATTTCAAGGGAGTTTATCGTAGAATTCGCGATTTGCTTAATATTGTCCCCGCAAACGCGGGCGACAGCCACATGATGTGGCCTTTGCAGCCGGGCGCCCAGCCCATGCCCATTCAGGCCATGCAGCCAATGCCCATGCAGGCAATGCCCATGCCCGCGCAGACGGGACCCTGGTGGGGGCCAGCGCAAGCTTTGCCTTCGCAGACCCCACCAGCCATGGCCCCAACAGCGCCAGCCCCAACAGTTTCTACGGCCCCAACGGCCGCAATGGCCCCAGCCCCGAGCCAAGCCTTGCCTTGCCAGGATTACCTAGTCCAAATGGGCTGCGGCCTGGTGGCGCTCGATTTAGAGTGCATCCATGACCACATCCACGGCAGCTATGCAGCAATGGAATGGCATGAGACCAGCGACCAGTGGTCATGGAAGCGTCAGTGTCAGATCATCGAACTTGCAGCTGTGAACCTCGTCACGGGCGAATCGCTCCTGCTGCGCAGCCGTCCCGAGTTCAGCTGGGAGGACGTGAAGTCCCCCGCAACCCGGCTTTTTGCTGAGCACAGCGGGCACAAGGAGATCGTGTGCGATGAGTCGCTGCCGGTCTTTGCCCAGCTCTGGCCCACCCACGTGCTGCCATTCCTGCAGCGGGCCGCTGGCTTCACAGGTAAAGTCGTTCTCATCGCCCACAATGGCGATCGTTTCGACCACTTCGTCCTGAACAAAGAGATCGAGCGGCTGGGCCTGGACATGAGCCGCTGCCCTCACCTGGTGTCGGCGGACCCAGTGGCCACCATGAAGCTCGGCTGCTCTTGCTTGTGTGGAGGATGAGTTAGTTCTCTGCTATGTAGCATCGGATATATATATATATATATATATACATATAGACACACACACTCTCTCTCTCTCTTGATATACTGCGACTAGACCTTGATGACGTGTCTTTGCACTTCAGTGAATCCCTGACCTCAGGAAGAAGAGGTTCCATGACCAGCAAATATCGAATCTCTATGGTCAACCGAGAGGGCTTTCCTTACATCAGATGTACATGATCCACGTGCCAGAACAGCATCGTACAGGCCTCCGTGCCCACCAGGCCATGGACGACGTGCGGATGATGCTCGACGTGATCCGCTGGGGGCCGCATGTGTCGGTCCTGCTGGCACAGGACATCTCGATAGCAACGCATGGGATGGAAGTTGCGGCCGCGACCTACTGCGTTTTGCAGCGCTTCATGCACCCGGTTCGGGTGTGGTCGAACAACCCCCCAGCCTACAGCGCAGGGTGCGCAACCCTGCCAACAGAAGAGCATGCGGAGGGCCCGGACAGCCCTCCCAACACAGCCCCAATGCAGCAGCATGGGACACCCATCTCAGCTGCCACAGTGGTTCCAGCCACGATGAGCTTCCCAGTGCCCTGTGGTGCGATGCCATTCATGTTTCAGCCCATCCCACCACCCCCAACAACTCCACCGGCTCCCACAGGTCCCCCCCAGGCAGCTCCGACAGCAGCCCCGACAGCCTTCACGCTGGAGGGCTCGCTCCCTCCCACAGTGCCAGCCAGTGTACCAAACAGTGCGCCCGCCCAAGTTCCACATGAAGTGCCCGTCCTGACTCCCGTCCTGACTCCCGTCCTGCATCCAATGCGCACACCGCCGCCACCCCCTTACGACGAGCTTCCCAGTGTTCCCAGTCTTCCCAGTCATCTTCCAAGCGGCGGTCAAAGGCCCGGGCTCGGACGAACTGTGCTCGACCTCGAGGCGGAGCTGATGCAACAGAGCTCCGGTGGTGGGAGCCGTGCGACGAGCTCCGGCAGCGAGGATTTGAGTGCCAGCCCCAGTCTTGGCAGTGTAGAGAGAGAGAAGCACGGCAATGCCGAGCCCCGGCATGGACATGCCGGACATGCCGGACATGCCGGACGTCCGAAAGGAGCAGGTAAGGGAGGTGACAAGGGCAAGAACAAAGGCAAAGCCAATGGCAACAAGGGCAAGCGCCGTGGCGGAGAAGCGTGGCTTGGTGCGGCTTCCAGGACACGTTGTCTTCGTAGTTGTGCTTGCGTGGTCGTGTGTTTATACGCAACCCTGATGACAATGGCACCGCAAAGAGAACTTATGAGTATCGCATACAAGGTATATAAGTTTTTGATCTCCGGCGCCAGGTGGGGCGACAACAGAAATTGGAACCAACAGGACTGGCCCGGTCCTTGGTGGGGCTTCTACCCGGCCGGCTACGGTGACATGGGATATTGGGGCTGGGGTGACTTTCATGAGTACGACTATCCCCAGCCTCGTGCCCGGGACCGAGAGGGCGGCAACCGCAACCGCGATGCCCGTGCTCCCAAGCCCGCCGTCGAGAAGCCCGCAGGACAACCGTCATCTTCCCCGCCCGCAGCCTGGCGAGACTCAGCATTTGGAGTTGTCGGTTTCTACCGGCACTTCTTTGCCTAAGACAACCTTAAACCCAAAACCCTAAAACCCTAAATCCTGAAGCCTATAAACACACACCGAGGCCAAGCCACCTACGAATTTCAGTGCAGAGATGGGCACCAGCAGTTGGCAGTGAGCCATGGTACGTTCATCTTCAGACGCGGGACCTGGGTCTCATTCTGTTCCTCTGCTGAGCATTTCTGCAGGATGCGGCTTCGCCCTTAAAGAGTCATCCAAACATTTCAATAAGGGGACAAAGCAATCTCTGGAGCTGCGGAGCCGTCGGAGTGAGGTCTCATGAGAGAGAGGCCCTCCGTACCGCGCGTAGCCCTCAAAAGTCAGTGTGATTCCTTAAAAAAATAGGGCCGTTTCATGGATGCCAAACGCACCATGGCCACGTGTGGCATTGCAGAAAGTTGCCCGAAGGGCAAAAAACATAAGACAGAACGTGTGTTCACATCTCCCGTGAGGGGAGCGCAGGCCAGTCCTGCGAGCTTGGGCCGCTTTGGAGACTGCATCTTGTGCCGTGACGTTAACAACAGCAGCAGCATTGCAACACTGTGCTGCGAGCGCACTGGCTCCACATTTTACGCTGTTCTACGGGAGTCCCTGGATCCAAAGTATCTGTAATGGCTGCTCTCCCTCTTCCTTTCGCTCTTTCTCTCAATCTTGCTCTCTCGCTCTCCCTCTCTCTCTGTCTCTCTCTTTCTTTTTTTTTCTCTCTCTCTCTCTCTCTCTCTCTCACTCACTGACTTACTCACTCAGTCGCTCGTTAGCTAGCTGGCCAAAACAAGCATTGGGCCATGGGAGGCCTTTGAAGTCTTGCGTGCCTCCTTGAGGAGCCTTACCAAAGTCCCAGCCGGAGCCCTGGAGTCTGCAGTCTGCTTGCAGCTTCAGTATACTAGCATATACTGTACTAGGGTTAGGCTCGAGTAGACTTGCCGCCTTAAGTCCATTAAAGTATAAACTTGTATAAACCCTTTTTAACCCTGAACTTGCGGTTAAGTGAACTGTGTGATGGTTTAAGGCTCACGATTGATACTGTTGCGTGTGCACTCCGTTATGCGACGTCTTTGTGACAGGGTTGGAGTTTTCGGGCACAAGGCGTGCTTGCACCTGGAAGTTTCAGTTGCAGAATTCTGGCCCTGTATATTGAGAATCCCAGCTGAACATGCCATGCGGCGCCAGCTTTGTTTTCCTGGTGCACATGAGGCCTTGGTGTCCATAACTTCCGAGCAAGAGGGTTAAGCCATTCTGCCGCGTGAGCCCTGAGAGCTTATTGCAAGTTATCCCCCTTCAAAGCGCCATGACGCAATGTCTACATGTGGCGTTGCTGAGTGGCCAAGCAGCCAGCCTTGAGGCCACTCCAAGGGAGAAGTCATTCGAGCCACTTGTTTTTGCTTCGGCTGGTTGAGTAGACAGGCATATTTGCATCTTGTGCACCGCAGTTGATGGATTGTAATTGGATTTCGCATGGTTTATAACTCCGGCTTTCAACATTCTGTTTGGGCGGTGACGGTGAGTTAATGCTTTGGTGCACATAAATTCGTTTATCCGGTTTGCCACTGTCGCCGGCTCTACAATAAAACGAAACCGTGCCGTACCTGGTGATCATGATAATATCTCATCCTGTGCTAGAGATGAAGCTCCTTGAGTTGGACCAGAACCCTATAATGTATAAGAACCTTACTCTTCAAACCCAAAAAGCTGTGGAAGAAGCTGAGCATGCCCTTGGCGCCATGGAGTGCCATTTACATCGCCTATGTGCGCAGGTGAACCCTGCCACGCCCCTGTACGAGGTGCGACCGCACCGTGTCCGGATACTGTGGAGCACACTGCCTCAGGGCAAAAACCAGCGGCCACACCTGGAAGGTCAAGTGGCAGGCCCAGAAAGCACTCCATTGTCGCCTGGACGCGCTGGTGCCCTGGCGGCAGTAAAAACCCCTGACCCTGAACCTTTCGTCGTAACCCCATCCCACCCACCCCAGAAAACACGCCCCCGCCCCTGAAAACGACTCCCCCCAAAAAAGACTTGCGGCAGCAACATGAACGAATGCTCTTGATGTGTTTTGCGCCCACGCGCCTGGACCAGAGCTTAGTCTCTGCAGCCGCAGTCAGGACAAATTGCGCATGCTCAGGGCTCATAAATAGGGTTTGAGGCTTCGCTCCCGCCCCCGAAGGTCGTGAGGGGTCTGGGCGGGCTTTCTGACCACCTCGGCAAAAGTAGGGTTCCCCCCTTGCGCATACCCTATAGGACCCTAACAAGGGGGTTCCTAATCTTGGGAACCCCCTCAAGATCGAAGTTCTGAAAGTCATAAAGGTGGGGCATTCAATAAAATTCGCGCCCCGGAGCCTGAAGACTGACTTTAAGACACAAGTTTTGCCATCGGACGGGACAAACGTCTAATCACTGAATCTTTTTGTCAAGACTATTTTAGGTTTCAGGGGATCTTCCATCGCCTTCACGCATGTTTAATGCTCCACAGATCGTTGGTGCCCGGGACAGCGTTTCATGGTGTAAGATTTGTTCGTTCCGACTCAGGCCTGATGAGTCCAGAGAGAAATCGTCCAACTGAACATGTGGACAACTTGTTAGTTTTGTCAATGCATTTTGTTTCTTCATAGTTGTAAGTTTGTTAAATTTAAGAGGAACGGTTTTGCAAATAAACTTTCTGAATGACATTCTGGAAGTCAAGAAAACAAGTAGCTGTTGTTTTTTCTCTTTCTATCTCTCTCTCTCTCTCGCCCGCTCGCTCGCTCCATGAAAGCTGTAAGCCGTTTAAATCTGAGTACCTGGTCTCTCCGCAGCTCCGGCCATATCGACCAAATCCCCCAGGTCCGTGCCAGTGGGGCACGACTCCGAGAAGCTTCGACGCTGCTGGACACAGAGGGGTCAGGATGCATTGTCTGTATGACGTTGTAATCAGTGCGAGACAAGTGAACATGTACAAAAACCACTGCGGGGCCACACATGCAGCGTAGGTTCAATTGGAGCCTCTATCACCTCTATCACTCAGAATCCCGGCATGTCTTCCTCCTCCTCCTCTCCCTTTGAGCCCGATCCCGTTCCAGGAAACGATCCTCATGAGCCCCAAAGCTCTAATCCTCTATAGGCCCCATATCCAGAGTAGGGGTTCTAACCATGAAAAAAAGTTTTTACAATGACAAGGGTTTCTTTAACAATCCTAGTGGTTTAGGGTTGGCAGGATAGTGGTTTCACGATAGTGGTTTAGGGTTGGCATGATAGTGGTTTCACGAGAGTGGTTTAGGGTTGGCATGATCGTGGTTAACAATGATAGTGGTGTTGGAGCTTTGGGAGGCCCAAAACCTCAATTCTCAGGCCTTTTTGTCACTTCAGCTTGGGGAGGCCCAAAACCTTCAGGTCTTTTTGTCACTCCCATGCGGGCCTGGGACTGCGGGGGGGGGGGGGGGGGGGAAAGCTCCAAAACCGAGGGTCTTTCTGTCACTGCCCCCCCCGCCCCCCCCCCCCCCCCCCAGGCCCGCACGGGAGTGACAAAAAGACCTGAGAATTGAGGTTTTGGGCCTCCCAAAGCTCCAAAACCAGGCTGTCACTGCCCCCCCCCCCCCCAGTCCCAGGCCCGCATGGGAGTGACAAAAAGACCTGAGAATTGAGGCCCAAAACCTCAATTCTCAGGTCTTTTTGTCACTCCCATAGGTTTTGGGCCTCCCAAAGCTCCAAAACCAGGCATGTGGGCCTTGGGGGGGGTCAGAAAGACCCTGGCTTTGGAGCTTTGGGAGGGCTTCGTTTTAGGGCTTGGGGTTGGGGCTTAGAATGGTTTCGGGGGCGTTTTGTGGGTAGTTGAAGGGTCGCAGGCATTGCGCAGGCATTGTGGCTATCATGCACTGAGGCACAAAAGTGATTCCTTGTTGTGGTTAAAAAATGGGTCTTTATTGCGGTTACGACCCCGCCTCCCATATCCAAGCCACAACCCTACACCTCTCAAGTACTTGCGGACGGTTTGCGGTCCACTTAACAGGGATTCCAGTAGTACCTGGGTATCAGTTCCCACTTCGCGGGCTCATGGAGTCAACACCCCAAACCCTATCCACCCTTAAAACCCTAAACCCTACACCCTAAAACCCCAAAACCCTGCACCCTAAACCCTAAACCCCAAAACCCTAAACCCTATAAGCCCCAAACCCGAGCAGCGCAGCGACCCGGCTCGCGAGGAGCTGGGCCTCGAGGATGGCGAGACGCTGAGCGCCACCCGGCTCCGGAGGCCGGCTTTTTTGCGGGCTTTGGGGTTTTTTGGGGTTTAGGGTTTAGGGATTGGGGTGTGTTTGCTGTGCTTCTGGTGATTCTATGTCTTTATACATATACCGAGCATGTGTATATATATATATGATGTTATTTCATTTTTCATTTATACAGATTTGCGTACTGAAAAAAAACGGGCGCTTATCGGGCTCTGTACCCTTGAGTTCAATCTGATTACTGGTGCTCTGCATGGTATTTCGACGCACTGTGGAGGTGGGGTGGTAGGGATAAAGGGGGGGCCCCTGCAGTCGAAGGCCCAGGACCCAAATTTACTTCCTGGAATTGATTGGTCAGTATAATAGGCTCTATAACCATGACGCTAGTCATACCGTGGCTCGATCAATCGCAAGTGTCTTGGCGTAACCTTGAAGATGTGCTGGTGGATGTGGATCATGTCGTGGGTGACCCTGCTCTCTCTTTTTTTGAAGTCAGACATCTAAGGCCACCTGCTTAGACCAATGCCTCTTCGAGCCCAACCTTGGTTGTTGTTCGATTCTTGCATGCAATCTGCGCAGGCCACCCCCAGCAAACCGCTTGGCTCACGCTGCTTTGCTGCCTATGCAGGGGTTGCGGTTGAAGTTGAGTTGGTTGCGTACGCCTTCCGATTGATCGAAATGTTTATTGAAGTATTGATTGTCAATGCAGAGTGCAGAGAAGCCCATGTCGATAGCGCACATCTCGAGGATGGAATCGAAATCTAGCAGCTTCACTGTGAAAAAAGGAAATAGGCAAATTCCCAAACTTTAAGCTTGGCCCTTCGTGCTTTTCTTTGCAGTTCCGCCCTTGGAGGCCTTTGCGATGGCCCGGCGTGGCTCGGACTGGACTGTGGCAATTTAAGGGGCGACGCGCTAAGTTGAGGGCCCCAGTCCCTGCACCAAAGTAGGGGGTTGCGTGGGTTTGCATGGGCTTGTAGGCTGTGGTGTTAGGATTCAGATGTTCAACCTTTGTGGGCCTATCCGACATGGCTCAGGCTGCCAAGGAGTTACAATGGGTCTACCAGCGAACGCCACGCACCGCGCGGCAGCTAGACCCCATGCAAAGGGCCTCGGATGACCCAGCTTGGCCTGGACTTGCAGCAGCAACAGCCAAACTTGAGATGGCCGATACGGCACACCAGGCGCCTCGCAAGCCCACACCCTCAACACTCCACACTCGCAACCTCCTCACCCCCCCCCCCCCCCAAGAGCCAGATCAAAAGCCCTCAATCTGGGCCTGCGCCTGCACGAAGTAGCTCAACACCCTGGACCCGACATGCATCACTATAAGGGTCCCCGTACCATCTCATTATATACTTGGGCCCAAAAGTCCCTAAATAGGAGGTACTTTAAGGCCCAAGTATTCCATATTTAGGTACATGGACCCGAAATGCAATATAAAGCTTAGGAGATGGCTCCCTCGTGGTTTGGGGCGACCCGAAACTGGGAGGGGACAGCAGCGCTGTGCAGGAGCTGCGAAGTTTGCTTTGAGGTCTTTAGCCCATGAGCTTTTGGGGAGGGCTTTGGGCCGGTTTGGAATTCTAATGGGGTGTGTTGGGTTGAGGGTTGTTTGGGGCCAGTTTCTGGGATTCAGGGTTTTGAGAGATCCTGAGAGGAGCAGCTCCGGAACGTCGAGGAGGTAGTCTTCTCTCATGGAGCAGCCCGTCCGAAAGAAATGAGGTTGGGGTTATTTTCCGTGGTACTCTTTAAACGGTTTTTGTTGGTGTGGAGAGTTCAGGCCACTTGTGGTTGAAAGCTGAAGGGTGCCCCCGTTAGTTTGTGTTCGACAAGACTGAATCAGGGGTTTCCAGTCTTTGACTTGGAGACGCCTTGGGTTAGTATTATCTGCGTCATCGCGCAGCGGAACGGATTGAAAGGTTTGGTAGGCCAAGTGCTGGTCATTCAAACCCTTCCCTTCCCCCCGCCCCCCTCCCAAGAAGCCTTAAGCCGTCGTCAAGTCAGCAGCTAGCAGAACCTGACAAGTGTAAACGCTGTACAGGCAACCCCATCGCAACACCTGGAATCTCCCAAGCCTCTCATCAGGATACAGTACAAGCCTTAAATCAGTTCCAGACGGGATTTGGGTTTAGAGATTATGGAGACCTAAACCCCAGACCCTAAACCTTAGACAACTTCGCACCAGACTTAAGAGACTGGGAGGCGGCTGCCGCACGTTTGGCGGATGGCCGCGTGGTCACTTGGGGAGCGCAGAGACGCTCGCCCGCCGCCGCGGTGGTTAGGGTTCGGGGAGTTTTTTCACTTAGTTTAGTCTTTTGTTTTTGAAGTAAATTTAAGGGTGTTAGGCGGGTTCTTAGGCTCTAGGGCTTTCGTTAGGCCGTTTATGAGGACTGCTCCAGATCACTCGTGAGACCGCCTCACCTCTTTGGGTGTTAGTTAGGGTTTCAGTGTCAGGATGTTTGCACGGGTGGGGCAAAGGGACTGCCCTGAAAGCCTGCAAAACGCTTGAATCGTCATGAAGCTGTACGATGAAGTACGATGAAGATGGCTGTTTTGCCTTCTCCATGAGCGATTGAGCTATGTGAGTTGTATACCTTCGATCAGCAGCCGTGCTGTTTATTCATGCTGGTCCAATCCTCCCACGAGGTTCAATAATCCTCAGGGCTTCAGTTCAGAAATACCCCTTAACCCTAAGCTGGCTCATGACTTCGACGATTCAGAGGGTGCCGGTACGCTGCTTCCACACGGAGCCCAGGATATGGTGCTGACAGCAGCGCAGTGCAACTTGGATTGGCGCAGTGCTGTTGTGCTGGGCAGGTTTCAGGTTCATGAATCCATGAACCCTACACACTATATAAGCCTGGCACCCCAAGGCAAGCAGAGCTCACGGATGTGCGTGAGGTCCGGGCGTCGCGCCTCGGCTGGTGATTCCGCATCTGCAAGGGTAGATGCTTGTAACAGGAGGCATTCAGGGAGCGTTTGGTGGTTCGGTGTCTCTGCAGTCCTGGGAGCTTGTGGCTGGGAGGCTTTTTGCCTGTGCTCTGAGACCTATACAGGCCAAAGACCCGGGTACAGCCGATTCGAAGGTACGAGGCCTTCGCTGCGCTCCGTGGTGACGGTCGAGCCGCTGGGGCAGCATGGGGGCTTCAGCTTGCCATGCCGTGTAACCACTGCAACCGAAACCCGGAAAAGTGTGCAGGCCAGACGCACATGTGCTACACGGATGATGTGTGACCTTTACGCTTCACTGTTTAACTGTTGTCGGGGTTGATTCTCGGAGTTCTGTGATGTTGTGGGAAATCGTAGGCTTCTGCACGCATCAGGGTTTCCATCAGTTTGCCTCGTGAACCTGAAGCTTCATTCTCAAGGTGTAGCCTATCAAAAACCTCATTGGGCCGATGAGAAATCCTCAAGGCCCATAATTAGTTCTGACTCCGGGTACAATATGGTTTGCGGTTTACAGGGCTGAAGGGTAGTGTCTGGTTGCTGGGCTACTTGCCCTAGAGAGACTCAGGTGGTGACCTGGTCCAGTGAAGACAGTGTCTGCGGCGATTGCCCAACAGGCCAGTGAGCTGCTTCTATGGATTTTGAGGGTTTTGGGTTGTTTCTTTGGGGATGTAGGGTTGAGGGCTGGCTCACATTTTCTCCAGCACGCACCCATTTTTATTTCTAGATTGATACATGGAACAACCTGACAGAACCGGGTAGGCCTTTGGAATCTTCCTCAAGAAAATAGAGCAAGGTCTCACAGACGTGCGGCTGCTGGCTGCTGCCAGGCGTGCCCAGCGAGGGAGGAGAGCGGAGGGAGGGCTCGATGAGGCAGGTTCTTTGAAGCAACGAGTAAACATACTTTTGAATTGCTCCGAAGCAGATTCCGCTGGAGATGTGGGGCCATCGCAGCAGCTTCCTTCAACAGCTGGAAGGTATGCCTTTGCCGCCGTCCTCGAAGATGGAGGGAAAGTTGTCGCATGGGGCGACCCGAAGCAAGGCGGCGAAATTGGTGCCTTGGCCACTGTCGGAGTGAACGGCCTGCACATGTCTGTAAGGTCCAGACTTTGAAGACGTTTATTGGGTCGGCTTGCTTTTGCTAGGGCGCCACCGCTGCTTCAAGCATCTGAAAGCAGCATTGCTAGTCATTGCGTCGCACATCCCATGGCTGCCATCCCTAGTGCTCACCAGTATACTACATGCACCGCTTGAGCCAGGTTCGCCACACCACCCAAAGCCGAAGATGTTTAAGTTTGCTTCACCTTGGCTGGCATGAATTGAAGCCTGCACTGCACACCATCTCAACGACTGTGATGAACCTGAGAAGTGGAAAGGCCCCGCCGCTGCCGAACTCTTCGATATCTGCCAGATCGAGGTCACGACTCTCAACATGACTTGTCAGCACAGCTCACGCGCACTGACATGTCATGTGATGCTGTTTTGCCATTTCGCAAAGCATCTGTGCGTTTGAGACTGTTTGGAGGAATCCATCAAGAGCCCTGCACCCTCAACTCTGAGTTCCCAGCCCTGCACCCTCACAACCACCAAACTCAGCATTTAGCTTTCAATGCCCCGCACCCAAAATGCAACACAGAAAGACATCGAAGTTTGCTCTCCCGGGTCAGCTTTGGCGAAGGCCACCAGCTCCGCCTTCGCAGCGCGCCGAGCAGACGGAGTCATACTGGCTTGGGGTGACCCTGCAGGAGGCAAGAGACGGCTTTTCCAAGCATATTCTGCTGTGGAGGCCACCGAAACAGGGCCCCGCAACAGGGCCGTCGTCCGACTGAAAGGGATGATGACTCTAGTCATCAGTAGCATTGACGCTCTTGGACACCAGTGGGAGGACGAAGTCAGGGCTGACATGGGCAGCTGCTAAAAGTTCCCAATGCTCAAGGAGCCCTTCGAAGCTACCCCCGACAGCATGAAATCCCAGCCTGGAAGTCCGAACTTGCCCCTAAACCCTATAAACCCTACAAACCCTATAAACCCTATAAACCCTATAAACCCTATAAACCCTATAAACCCTATAAACCCTATAAACCCTATAAACCCTATAAACCCTATAAACCCTAAACCCCTCCAGGCGGCGATCCTGGCCCCGAACAAGAAGTGCTGCGAAGCGGTGGGTTTTGCGATATCCAGGTGGCCAAATTCGATTTCTGGCTGGCTCTTACTTGGGAGTGAGGGAATGAGGTACCCTATATAATCCCTTAAAGGGTTGAACAAAAGTATATACACATATATGGTCCGGCGTCTGGCGTGTCCCCCCCCCCTCCCTGGTATGGTCAGGTAGGGGAGGGTGGCCGACTGTGAGCACACCCACCCTAAACCCGAAACCCTAAACCCTAAACCCTGGCCACCACAACCACCACCCCACAGGGCCACAGGGGGGGGGGGGAGCCACAGTTCCAGACACACCCTCAACCCTAAACCCAAAACCCTGAACCACCACAACCACCACCCCACAGGGCCACAGAGGGGTGGGGGGGGAGCCACAGGGGGTGGGGGGGAGTTCCAGACCATGCGGGGGGAGGGGGGAGGGGGGGGGCCGCGGAGCACTGGACCATATGTAGTGTCCTAATTCCAGGCGGTTAGATTCATTGGATAGGGGGCCAGAGTGAATCACTCGGGAGATGGTTTCATGTCAATGCATGGCTTGGCATACTGCAGGATCTGATTTTAGAATTTGAATTGAGCAGCTCCCCCAGGCGTTTACATAAGCTGACCTGACCCAAATGCCCTAAACCCGACAAGCCGGTACGCCCTGCATGACGTTTAGAATGTCAGTGACTGTGTGCCAGGGCAGCGGAACTGCCTTTGCAGCTCTGCGAGACGAGGTGTGCGCCGTGGGCTTTGGGGCCGCGTGTGTGTTTCTATGTGATGGCTGACACAGCTTCTCGATGGTATGGAGGTTGCGCTGCAGATACATATACATACATTCATACATCCATACATGCATACATGCATGCATACATGCATGCATGCATACATGTAGAAAATGCAGCGTCAACAACACGGGCTTCGTTTATATTTGAGTAGGGACACTATCTTTGCACAGCTCGATGAGGGCTCGCAGATGGAAGAGGGTGTCTGTGTGTGTGTGCGCGCATGCACTCATGCAGCATGCATGAACTCAATGGTCGATCGTTCAGCAGTGGATTCTGTAGGCGCACTCACCCCACCCCGCCCCCGCCAGTTTTTTTTGAGGATGGCAGCGTTGTGACCTGGGGAAGATGCGACTCGAAGCCAGGCTTGTATGTCAGATATTGTTGTTCGCACGCGCAGTCAGCATGTTTTCACAGATTGTGCAAAGAAAGTCTGGAACAAAGCAGTGCAATCAACATGTATATCCTGCTGGCTGAGGGCACCGAAGACATTTCTCGACCACGCAGGGTTGGGGCTTCAAGGGTTTCTGGTCAATTCTTTGTAGTAGTGCGGAAACCATCAAGTCTTAATGATTTCTTGCTCCTGGCGTAAACTTATAAAACGGAACAGAAGCCATCATATTCCCTAGAAAACTTCGGTCACTCAATCCAACGGAATACGTGCAATCAGCGAAACTAACATTCCTCGCCATGTCCCTTTCCAGCTCTCCTTTAGTGTATAGAAAATGTGCAAGACGTGACAACCCTACACTGACCCAAAACCTTATAGCTAGCCTCTTTTCAAAGCTATACATGCCCACGCAAAAAAACGCTAAGTCCTTAATTGGTTCTAGGGCAAGCTTCGGGGGTTACAGAGTTTAGGTATTAACTATAAATTATAGCTACCGCGGTTTCTGGCTTTATCATCGAGTTTAGAGACTCATTGAACCCTTCAAGGCCTAGAATCTCAGCACCCCATACCTCGAGCACCTGCACACAGGGAAAGATCTCCTTCGCGTGCAGTGCCCTGCCAGCGAGACTCTTGTGGACGAAGCAAGTTCAAGCCTAACCTTAACCTATCTAAGCCTTCACCCTAACCCCAAAGACGATTTTTCACTTACCTGTATTAGTCCATATGAAGCATGAGACTTCAGGGGAAGGAGTTGCTGTCCCAGTACTAGGGAGTCACTGTGCTACGGCTCTGAGAAATGCAGAGAAATTGAATCCAGGCTGAATGCAGGGAGTCAGGAGCCAGAATCTGGTTAAACAAGCCTTGACTAAAGCCTAGAGCCCCGAACCCTGAACAGTTGCAGCCCCATCAAACCCTAGGTGTCTCAGTCTGAGGTCCATCGCAGCCAGCTCTTTTGCTTTTGCAGCTTTGCGTGTGGACGGCTCTGTGGTGACATGGGGCAACTTGCGAGGCTCGGTTGCAGGGGCTTCGTGTTTCGGGCGATGGTCTTCAGCTTCAGGGCTTCAAGTTGGCCTTCAAGCTTGGAATAATGTTGAATATACCACATTTTTTTGCTCTGAGACTCCCTGGATGCACCAGTTCCTCACTTGCCGGGTGGCTGCGTGAGCCTAGGCTTTGGTGCTGCCGAGCCCACTTTTGAGGAGAGCCTTGGGTCTACGACACCAATGTGGAAGCAAGCCCATACCTGCAGCCCAATGACCCACCCGCTGTGTAGCTTGATCCCTAGATTGACTACCTATCTTTAAAATGCTCCTTCACCTCCACATTAAAATTCGATGCATCAAAAAGCATCAAGTCTGCGCCGTCTCTGCATTCCGAAGCCCGACTCGAGAAGGAGGAGCTCCAGGAAATTGCCGAGCTGGCCGCCAGCGGCGGCGCCTTTGCCGCTCGCCGCGGCGACGGCCGCGTGGTGCCTTGGGCACCTTCTGGGGTCGAGGTAGGTTTACTTTAGGAGTTCTGAGAGGGTCTACGGCTCTATGAGGCTCTATGGTATATAGGTGGGACCTCACCTGGCCGGAGGTCGTGAACTCTAGTAACGACGCGGATCCAGAATCGACAATAGCTTCGAACAATCGTTGCATGACAGCCCCGCACAGATGGCCCAGGTTGTTTGGGGCCACGTAGCCTACGGAGGTCAGCAAGCCGCCGGGCTGAGCTGCAGAAGTTTCGGGTTTTCCAGGCTTGTTCCCCCCGTCCCCCCAAAGAAGATCTGAAGTTGCCGCACGTTTGCGGAACTCACAAAACGTACACTTGACGCCTCGTGCCGGGAAACCGCAAGCAGCAGTGCCAGAACACATCAGGCTTCTTACAGTGCTTGTCATGCGTTGAGACGACGTCTGTTCACCGAATCCTGTTCGCTCTTGAGGACTGCTCCAACCTCACGGACGTTCGGGAGCTCCGTGTGGCTTCGGCATCACTCTCGTGTCATGATGGTTATAGGCATTGAGTTTGAGGCTTATATAGGAGGGCTCCATCTCCTTTTAGTCATGCCTCTGTAGCCCTAGAAACATACCGATAAGCTCTAAGCCTTCACCTTAAAACCTCGTAAGCCCAAGTCCACACACTGGCCTCGCAAGCTCCGTGAGGCGACCTACGGTGCTTTCGCCGCCATCCAGGGCGACGGATCGGTGGAGCCAGGGTTCACGTTTGTGTCGAGGTTCAGGGTGTGTGCGGACCTACAGTTCAGACATGTTCAGACCGTTCACATCAAACAGGCAAAAGAGTGCTGCGGTCTGGCTCCAGGATCTCGAATTAATCATGTGTATGCTGTTTAGGTACAGCTTCTATAGTTTCCAGTAGAGCTGGACTTGGGAGGACGTGTTCACGGGAAGTGGTCGATGTTGGCACCATGACATGCTTGGCTTGATGCTGTGGATAGCCATGGATTGAAGGTTAGGTCCAGCTTCGTGCTGGCAGTGGTGGAAGATTGAGATTGAAGATGAGTTTCTGAAGCAGTCTCCTTGATGTGGCGGGGTGGGGTTGGGGGGAGGGCAGTCCTCTAAGCAGGCGTTGGTTTGAGCACAAAGGGCCACAGCTTGGCAGGTGGTGACCTGGGGAGATTCGGCCGATGGTGGCGACTCGAGTGTCTTGATTTAAGGTGCTCAAGGCTATATCTATCTGATCTTAGATGTAAAGAGTGAAGTTACTTCAAGAAATATTGGATCATTAGGGAGCCCACATACCGTAGCAATCGCAAGGATAACTTCTCGTTTCTACGTGAGCCCGCATGAGCATGCTTCAGCCTGTTTGGGCCCGGTTCCGTCCTTTTCTCTCCCAGCCCACAGCTTGGTCGCTAAGGCGCTGTGCAGGAGCAGCTGCGAGACATACTTTGAGCCCGCCAAAAACACAGGCTGAGCGTGTGTTCGATACGTGTCTCAGCCAGTGGCGGCTTGTTTTTTTGTTGCCTTCTCCACCCCTGAACTTGTCAACCTTCAGCTTCCAAAGTGCTTTTTCGATGGCCCATCATGGCCTATCCTGCAGCCAGTTTGAAGTGGAGCTGAGGGAACCATCGACTGGCTGCTGCAGCGAGTCGAAAAGCGGTGGGTCCCGTAGGTCAGTCTCGCTCAGAGCGAAGAGCCTGAGCTGCTTGTTTTGTTTGGCAGGTGTTGGAAGGGCTCATTCGCTCACTCTTGGATCTCGTTATCTTGCCGCTTCTGCGAATGTGAGGTTCGATCCGGCAAAATCGTGTAAGAGCGCGGCTTTCAGTGTGTTTCCGCTTGGCACTCAGCTCCCAGAGCACAATGAGTACACTGTAGGGTTCACTTGCGGAAATTGGGAGTTGGAGCTTTCGATTGAGAATGTGTTGTGATTTCAGCAGACTTAATATAATTACTTGCCTGTTCATGTGCACACCCTTCTGCAGGAGCCGGGCTTTCGAGCGAGACACCGGGTGTCCTTTGCCAGACGTCGGTCCTGCGTTCACAAAGGCGCCCGGATGCCCGCCTGTCTTGACTTGCGAATGCTGGCGATTGGCTGTCACAAGACGGCTGGGGTTCGGTTGGAACGAGGTGCCAACGGTGTCAACAGTGTTTCCAGCTTGCATGTCGCAGACGGATGCTCAAGCAGTATTGCCTGCAGTCTTGCTGAGATGAAGCGGGACGAGGACGGACCAAGAACAGGTCCGATGTCGGTAAAGTCGAAATGGGGACCCTACGATAGTAGTGCCCAATCTACCTTGCTCGCACGGCCTCGGGCTGCTCAGTTCCTTGACGCAAACAAGCCAGTCCAGCCTCACTCTCAAAGGAGCGTGGACCCAGAGAAGGCAACATCAGCCATCGCGGAGGCTTGGAAGCTTTCGAGCAAGTACAACATGGAGTTCGACGCCGCCATGGTCATCGTGGTTGGCCAGCAATCTGCTGGCAAGACTTCGTTTGTTGAGCGATATCTCGGTTATGCGTTCAGCGTGGTCAAACACGGCATGGCAACCACACGGCCATCTGTATTGACCATTCTGCCACAGGAAGAAAAGAAGAAGTCGTCAAAGTCGTTGAAGAGCTTCCTGACGGAAGCAGGAGCACTCAGGACATCTTCACGGGAAAAGAAGCACTAACGCAGCTTCATAGCTGGGTTACGGAGAAGAACACGAGGGTTGCCAAAGAGAGGCTCTTCATCACAATACAGACCCAGAAGTGCAAGACGCCACGCAGAGTAATGGATCTTCCTGGCGTGCGGGCAAGTGATGAGGATGAGTCCCAGGGTGTGAACGATGCCATCATAGCAATGGTCACTGAGTCGATGCGTATGCCCAATTCCATCGTGGTGTGCCTCGCAGACTCCACTACAGAGTCAGCAGCTGGCCTTGATTTAACACATGCGAACGTGCATGTCGCCAAATACTTGTGACGCATAGCCTCCCGTTGTTAGTGTAGTCAGTGTAGTGTGATGCTCGGACTGTTAATGTATGCCAAGGCAAATGACAACATGGTGAAACTCTTCCGTGAGCGAGGAACTGGAGTCATGTGCTTCTCGGACCGGCTGGTTCTGGTGCTTACCAAAGCCGACAACTGGTTTGCCACTACCGGGCGCGCCGAAGTTGCGCGAAGCCATCTCCAAAGCTGGAAGGAGGGGTTCTACGGCATTGAGCCCATGTTGATGGGCAGCTCGCTTGACAAGAATGTGGACTCCAAAGATGTGCTCGTGCGCAATGCGGAGTATGAAAGGGCAAATGACCGCGAGGAGCAGAACATCACCAGGTTTCGGCACGACGTCTTGGGCACCTTGCAAGGTGATGAGCGGAAGTTCTGGGAGGAGAAAGTCGGCTTCAAGCATGTGCAAAGTGCCGTGCAGCAGATGTCCCTCACGATGGACCTGTCGAAGATGCAGGAAATCAAGGACAAGATCCAAAAGCGTTGCAACCAGGTAAAGTTGGGGCTGGACAAAGCTAGGGCAGCCTGCGGCAACTCAGATCCTCCTTGCCTCGCTGTGCATCTCTCATCATCCCATGATCTCGAGGACGCAGAAACCAATCATGCTGTCCTGGGTTGGCCCCCTGTAACCTGTTGATGTCGCTGGGCGTTTGTTGAAAAAGCTGCTGTTGATACTGTACAGTAGGAGACAGCGAAGACCCTCGTCCAGGAGGAGGAAGAGTTCAGGCAAGTTGCGGCCGATTTCTCGCCGGATGCGATGCAGGCGGCATGGAATGAGCAGAAAATGCTGAACAACATACAGTCGCGCAGCTGAACAGTCTCCAGACGAGTTCAGCGCTTTCCACCGAGGAGTCCTCGAAGACGGCGACTTCTTGAAGCAAGTTTCCCAGCGCGAGGATGCCTTTCTTGCGGGGGCCGCCATGACACGTGCAGTGGATTTCTTCGAGTGCATGGCGCTCCAGTACATGTATCTTGACAAGGAAGATGTGCCTCGCATCAGGAATGCAGTCACCATCAATCCCGACATGCCTTTCATGGAAGACAACCTCCAAAGGATCTTCGTAGTTGGAAACATCAAGGCTGCAAAAATGCGAGACATCACCATGTACATGGTTCAGAAGACAGCCTACCTCATGACGCAGGGCTTTGCGTGCGCCTTCAGGAACATGACGAAGAACGAGACGGAACGAGCTCTCATCGACTCCCTTGCCGAAGGTACCAGTGTGGAAAATGTCTTTGACGTGCTGCGAAGGGGCTTCATTAAGCATCTGCTGGTACATGCGCACCATGCCTACCTCAGCTCCATCAGTGATCACAGCCAGTTTATGCATCAAGTCGGCTCATTTTGCCGAAGTGATGTGCAACTTTGTGGAGATTCTGGGGCGTGGTTACATGACGCTTTGGAGAAAGAAATCGGTCACCAGCTTGGCCAACTTCTGCGCCATCACGAGGCCGTGGACAAGGGAATCAAAGAAGGGCTGCGTGTACTTGGAGGTCTTCCCATGCAGAAGTCTTTGCCTTCTCGACTGGTACAAATTGTGAACAACATGCAGGACCAAGGTATCTTTGATTCCCAGGATTTTAAGTTGCACCATTTGCTCGGCATGACCGCCGTGGCGTTCGCCTTCTTTGCTCCTCGGTTCTCAGCCGCTGTGATCATGCGATGCATGTCTGGGCTGCTTGGCAGTCTCAATTCCACGTACTACAGGCACTCTTACGAGGAGAGTGTTCACAAGGAGCTCACCAAGGTTTTCATCGATGGTGATCTCGCTGAGCGTGTGGAAGTCCTCAGGCAGCATGAAGCTGAGCTAGAGGTGGAATACAACGATCTCTGCCATGCGCTTGAGAAGTTGCGCAGGCTGCGTTGAGGCATGTCTCACTATACAGGCCCCTGATGGACTCAGAGGACCGATTGAAGAAAGTGCTGTGCAAGGTCTAGTATGACCTTCCTATATATGTATATACCGGCTGAGAATCCGACTGACAAACGCTCGCATGATGCGAGTCCCGCAATACGAGTCGCATAAGGCTAAATCGGTGATGCGTTTCGCCGAGTAGAGTCGAGTCGCGATGTTTTTTTGTTGGATCAGCTGCGTGGCTCGCAGGCTCCTTTTTGCAGCAGCTCTCGAGGCACGGCTGCAGACCTTGTACTTTCGGTAAGTGCTACGGATGTTTTCTTTGAAGTGAACTGCAGCATGTGACACTCGAACTCGGAACCCTGAGACGCATGTATCTTACTTGTCTGTAAAGCATTAATGTAAGCCTACATCGGCACATCACATGAAGAAATGCCAGCACCACAAGAACCCTCGACATTCCCCCAGCAATCCTCACAGCGTAGCTTGGTCATCTCTCAGATCTCGACCCTATGGGTCATTCCCATCTAAGGCAACTTGTGTTTTTTATGGCCTAAGGGTTCTCGGTTCAGAGTTCATAGGGTTTAAAGTTTAGTCCTCGCACAGGATTTTAGAAACGCACGTGTGTCTATAGGGGCTCCAAAGGTTTTGGGCTTAGGGCATCCGTGTCGGGGAACCAAAGGCTTTTGTAACATTTTGTACCTTTTCTGCAGTCCTGGCTTGGATGCTGCAAGAAGCCTCCGAGTTTCATATGCTGTTTCGCCACCTTCTAGGGTGCAGGTTTCGGGCTTAATGGCGACGATTCCATGCCAACTAGCAATCACTGACACACTCGTGCCGAGGCGAATTGCCAGAGAGCACGCTCCTGCGCAAGGCCAAGGTGAGTGTTTGCAGGCCAGCTCCTGTCTGACACTTATTTGGCACGCTGGCTGCATCTCTTGCCTGTTTGTTCAGCCACATCTTGGCTTGCGACTTCCAGGGGCAAGCGTATAGAATAATGCTCTTCGGGGCCCTTCAGTTACGCTGTGCTCGGAGCCATTTGGCCGCTGGGACCACCTGTGCATACTTGCCAGATTCATCAAGGATATTCAAGGATCGCTTGCACAGTACCTACTTGTACATGTAGCTGCGCGCAGTATATGCCATGCTACCGCGTGATTCTGGGCGCTACAAAGTTGCTGTATAGGGCTAGGTCTCTCAGAGACGCCGATGTCAGCGATGCCGGTGACACTCCGGGACGAGGTTGCTGCCGTCACAAGTATCTGGGATGCGAGATGTCGAGCATGTAGCTGCAATGTAGCTGATGTAGCTGTTATTGCACGAGAGACCGCTCTGATTCGAAACTGCAATGCCAACCAAGGTGCCATGGCCATGGGCATGACTTTGCCGTCGTACGCGTCATACGTATTCGTCCAGAAGGAGGGTGACTCCAGTGAGTTGGATGCCACACTTCCGCTGTGGGTTTTCCCCAAGAGCCTGAGCAAGCTTGCCTTCCCTCCGGGGCTTGACCACCCCCTGCCCCAAACGTTCCAAGCCAGAGCGTGCAGCGCCGGTTTGGTGCGATTGGGGTGCCATGTGCAAGGCCGAAGGCAGAACTCTGAGTCACCTGGCCGCATGCTGGAAACATTGGAAACAGTGGATCGCAAAATTGGGTCACCTCGTGAGCTCGAGAAGCCGACCTATGACTTCAACATCATGTTTCCAGGATATGACCAACAGCAACACCTGGAGTTCGAGCTGGTGCCCAGGCTGATTGGACGAGGTGCTTGCAACATGGCCGCCATCAAAAAGACGGGTGCTGGCGTTTGTATTTGTGGGAGGGGCAGTGGCTACTTGGAGAAAGCTGCACCTAACGGCAAGCGTCGTGAACGGGATGCGCCGCTGCACGTGGCAGTGTCTTGCAGTACGCGACTTGGACACGTCAGCGAAGTTTGCAAGTCTCGCTTAGACCCAGTTTGGGGAAGGTTAGACGTACGGTGCACTTTCTCTCGGAAAGAGTTTAATGCGTTCACGTGTTTCCGGCTTTTGCCTCCATCGAGGAGGTTTCGCCCCCATCTACACAGGGGGGAGCTAGGAAGGTTCATGGAGTTTGCGGCACCGGTTGCATGGGTTCCCCTCCTACCCCCCTCTGTACTACCCCCCCCCCCCCCCCCCTGGGTTTGAGGTCTTTTTGGGGGGAACCTGGAGGGGAGCGTAGCCAACTGCTGGGCGCAACGTAAGGCCAATAGTCCAAGACCCTCAAAAGAGTAACTTAACCGATGTCCTTCAATTTTGCCCCCGAGCCTCCGAGCTGGGATTCAAACGACGAGCTCAGGAACGAGATCCGGCAGGCGGCTATGAAAGAGGTCTTATCTCTTATGAAGTACCTCTCGCGTCACTTCGAGCGGTTTTGTCGCACCTCGTTTCGGTCAAGACTTTTCAAGAGAAGTTCCAATGCAATGTTGTCTGAACGTTATTGCTGGTATCGCGAAGCTGTCATTCCATCGCGCTTTCCTGAGGCATGAAGCACCTCAATTGCCCGACGGAGTTGTACGCAGTCGAGCCCGAGGCAGGGATTGGGATGGGCATGTGCTTCATACTCGTAGATATGTGATGATATGTGTATCTCGCTCGCGGTCGACAGTGGGCGAGAATCGGTCTAGTAGAGTCTAGAAGTGAAACGTCCAGAAGTCCAGCACTGCAACGACAATGCTTCAAGCTTTTTCTTGGGATGCTTGAAGAATTAGGTCCGTGCAGTCCGCTTTCGTGGACGCGCGCTGCGACGTTTGGGACGGGACAACCCCAAGGTCCCCAAGGCGTGGCATGAGTTGGCCTGTATATTCTATATATTCTATATGTTCTATATCTTCTATATATTCTATATATATAAAGAATCTGAAGCTTCAATCGATCCAAGTTGATCCCGACGGACCATGCAGGGAATGGTTGCACAACTTGCACTATTTGGTGGCAAGAGCAAGACGGGACAAAATCAGCGCCAATGTCGCGACGTGGCCGCACTGATTGATAGTTCTTGCTTAACCTTGCTTGCCAGCTGTCCGCACGTTTTTGATCCAAGTTTGGACTGCAGGAAACCACGCCCGATCTGAGTGAGCTGTAAGCTTGCTCCGGTATCCTGCGCAGGCGGCCGATCCCTGCAAAGGGTCTGCCTGAGTCAATTTAATGGGTTAAGGACCGTCAAGGATGAACACCCATTCAATAAAAGGGCTAGTGGTCTTGACAGATATCCTGAATCGTTCCTCTTGTGGATGGCGAAGCCAGTTAGATGAATGGCAGTGACTGAAGCTAGGAGGAAGTGGGCGGGCATTAGGCAAATGCTATGTCAGCTATGTTGGTGACTGGGAGCTTGGTGTTAAGGGTTTAGGGTCTGGAGTTTAGGGTTCAGGGTTTAGGGTGTAGGGTGCAAGGTGTGTACACATCGATAATCCTGTGCATGAATGGAAGCCTCTTGAGCAGACTGCTCCTGCAATGTCTCAAAAAAGCAATCGCCCTCCAGTGTATTCATTCCCTTACATCTTGAAGGTCCTTGACCCACTCCAGTTGGGGTTCAAGCATTTCTGGCAGACGGTGGCACATCGTACCACATAGATCTGCTTTGCGGCCTCGACTCCGGTCCCAATTCTTTGAGTTTGTGGAGGTAGCCTGTACCATATTATGCTTTCCGGGTGCAATCCCCAAAGTCTACGAGAAAAAAAACATCGTGGCTTATGGAGGGTTGCATGCCGTGTGAGACGTGCCATCATTTTGTCGTCGGCGCTCGGTCATCTTTTTCAGTTGTTGTGGGGAGGCCGTTCTTGGATGCTATGTGGTTCTGAGGTTGTCAGTACCTATAGTAATCGTGGCTGGCTTACGGCGCATGAAGTTTCTGAATGCTGCGGTCTTTGCCCAGCAGCTACTCCTCTTCACAAATGTAAGACTCTCATGTGCCACCCAAGATCAATGCCTGCACGATAGGATCTCACGCGCGATGCGAAAGCTCGAACATACGGGACTCTATTTTCACTGCGGCATGATACGCTAGTATTTCGCTGTGACGAGGGGAGCAGGATTATCACCACGGGGACTCCTCCGTCCTCCGCGTTCCAGTCCACGAAGCTTGTGCAAGTTGACACGCCGTGCTCGGAAGCAAGATCCATCTACGGAATCTGCGGCCCTGTGCGCAGTGTCACTACGAGGGTTTTTAAAGTACTACGTGTGCTAAGTTTGCCTGTTGATTTCGAGCCGGCGTTTCTATTCCTTAGTCCGTCTGTAGACGTGCGACGTGAAACAATGTGCATGCTGAGAGGGGAGCGGGAGACGACATCAGTTGCTAGCCCTCTTTGGCTGGCATACTTGCTTCCACTTGCTTCTGCTCCCAGTTTGCCAGGTCGTCGCCGAAAACATCAGCTTGGGAGCCGCCGCTCGTCAGTCTGTCTCCGACAGACGACATGAAGATACCACCGGCTCCTTAGGATGGAGGGTGCGGACTACACGGATCTAAGCGAGCATGGGTTTCTGGCTCCAGGATGCTGTAACCCTCCTTGGCCCAGGTGGCCTTTGTGACAAGTGAGAAACCAACTCAGCCTGTCGGCACTGGAGCGATTTGGTTGAAAGGTGCCATCAGGTGCTGAGGACATCCACTCCAAAGTAGCCTTTAAGCCAACTCCCACCCGCACCTGTGGCTTGACGCCGTTGAGCCCAAGACCCCAACATGCATAGCTTTTTTGGTTGTGGCGGTGCGAAGAGCGGGCTCGTTCTGAAAGCTGTGTTCTTCGAACCGTTCCGGTCCAAGATGTTGAGTTGATGATTGGCTAGTTGCCGGTCTGCGGCGAGCGCGAGAGTCGTCCGACATCGTCTGTTTGCTTTGAGCCAGAGATGGGGTCAACGATGCGGATGAGCAGGGCGTGTCTGGACTCCAGGCCTATACGACCTCGACTCGACCAGGTAGTTGCAAAGCTGTCAGAGTCTCCGCATTTGCATGCGTCGGCATCGGCTGCATCTGGTCAATGAGGGCAGGAGCCTGTACTGGATATTACAGGGCAGTTCTGCTCTTTTGTGGGTGAGAAGCTAGCGCCTCAGATTCTTCGACACGTCAGGCATCGGACCGGTGCCAAGCCTGAATAGTGTTCCTAGTTTTTTGCATTGATAATCAGTCGAACTTCTTACCTCGCGGTCGTGGAGCAGGCCTTGACAAGCATGTCTAAGCCGCTGCTTGCAGCCGATCTCGGCTGCACCGCAGCACATCGAGCTTGATGCAGAAGCACCAAAACCAATGTGCTGCACAAGGATGAGTGCTGATGATGATGCCAATAAACGCAACTCGGTGGAAGCCCACAACTCAAGCAAATCCCCAAGTAGCCACCGTGCCCGAGCCCCGATCCCCCAACAAAAACAAACAAACCAACAAACAACAAAAGCAACAGCGAGCCATAGCCGCCTGGGCCTTCGAGCCGGCGCGGTGTCGCAAAGCGGCGCGAGGGCAGCGCTGCCATGACCGCGGCCAAGGTTGCCGAGGAGGCGGAACCCCAACATTGAACCCGATTCTTCACGGGAGGGGCAAAGCAAAAGATAGCGTGAGCCTACTGGATCGGCTTCGGTCCTTGTACGACTTAGCCCCTTAGGCTTTGTAGGCCTATCTCCAGGACGACAGTTAATGACACTTTTTGCCATGCGGATTTCTGCCGAATGTCTTCCCACCTGTTTCTATCACCTCTTGTTCTGCAGAGGCAGAGATGAGGGAGCGCCTTCTCTCGACGCCAGCAGCATGCCCAGATGACTGTCACGCTCAGAGTGTCAGAGACTTTGGCTAATTCTAGTTTAGTTAATTCGGCATCGTCATTTTGGAGCACATCTTCGTGTTGTTGTGAAGGTGGGCTGTACAGTAAGTGCATGTTGAAGCAGTTGTTTTTGAGCCGCCATCCATCAAGCCATGCTTCCATCTATCCGTCTATCCACCGAGCTATCCATCTGTCATCATCTGTCCATCTGTCGATCTCCCGTCTGACCGATCTAATACCATAAGCCCTAAATACTTTCAGCATCTCTGGAGCATTATTGACCTAACTATACCTACATGCAGGCCTGAGATTGTTGCACTGAGCTTGGCCCTTTCTCTTTCTGGGCCTTGCGATCAGGCCGAGGCTTCTGGCGGCTTGCGGAAGCGGAAAGATGCAAAGGTCTGCCTTCCTCGGCATTTTGTGTCGCACGCTTCAACTTTTTTCCAAGGCAGACACCTCAGAGATGCATGAGCGCGCCTAAATCCACCACCCCATGGCCAGGCCGCATCTGCCGAGGACGCGGAGCGCTCCGAGGCCCACTTCGGGGTTTCATGCATGTGGATAGGGCTTCGGGTTTAGAATTTCAGGGGGTTGTAAGGTTAAGGGTTCAGGGTTTAGGGTGCATGGTGGTTTCTCTGAATTGTGGGCCCCTTTGTGGGGTACCTCAACATAGAAGGATTTGTATTATCGTGAAACCCCAGAAGGGCACCCGAATTGAGGGACCCCCCCCCCCCCCCCCCACGGCACATGTTTGTGGAATTGGTTCCTAACAAACACCTCCGCATCCCCCCTGCAAGGGCTTGCTAGAATTGTTGCGGCGCTGGTTGAAGGCTTTCAGTTTCTGTTTTTGGATTCCGTGCCAGTAACTTCGTGGCGTGAGGTTCTGTGACAGCTTTGCTTTGTGTTTGTTGCCTAAGAATCTCTGGTGGTGGCTAATTAGGCCTTGTCGAGGCCTCCGAAATTACGCAGGAAATCGTTACCTACCGCTGCCTTGGTATTCCTTAAAGCCCGTTTCCTCGCAGGTCCTGGCGTTGCAGGCAGCACGAGCAGGGAACCCAAGCATCACCGGCATTGTGCTGCCTGCAAACCTCAAACCCCTCAACCCCAAAGTCTCGAACCCTCAGCTCTGTAGAGTCTTAAGTCGCAGATTGCTCGTTTTTTCGCAACTCCTTGTGGTGCCCCATGGCCCATGGGCAAGGACAAGATGCAAGAGGAGCTGCACCGCATGCAGTATGTCGGTGACGCTTGCCTAATTAACCTGGGTTTTTGTGGGTTATTGCAGTAGAAGTATATAGGGATCATAAGAGAACACTATTGGTACTTATTCCGACCCCTGTATTGCGATCGTTGATTGTAAGATTGACCCTAAACAAGGGTGGACCGGGACCAAGCAGATTTTTGCTTCCAATTAGCTCACACGCAGAATGCGGTAATTTCCGGATCTCCCCGGCTTGGGCTGTTGCCGTTTTGATCGATACCCCTTTCTCAGGCTGAAACCCAATGTTGGTGTGCTTTTCGAGAAGCCACAATGCACCCGGCACTGCAACATTTTCCCTGAGCCCAAGAATCCCAAAACCCCAGACCCTAAACCCCTAGAACCTCACCCCAAACGGCAAGAACCCAAGCACACCCGGATCGCAAGGAAAGCCTCGAAGGATCCAGCAATACGCCCCGGGCCCGGCTTTGAACAGCGCTTCCGCTCTGCCTGATTCTTCGAACCCAGGATTGGAAAGACGCAGTCTGCCCTCCAAGAGTACGATAGCAAGCTTGCGAGCGCGGCAGGGCGCTCAGGGTGGGGCCTGCCAAGCTGGACCTTGAGGTTGGGGTTTAGGGTTTAGGGTTTCAGAGTGCTTTTCGGTAAACCCGTGGCCTCTCCGAGCCGCCCTGACCCGAGGCGAAAGCTTTGGGTCAACTGAAGCGACGCATGGAGGAGGACTCGCGCTACATTTGGTGGCCGGGCGTCCCGGAAACAAGGGCCCTGGGTGTAGGTTTTCAGATCCTGAAGCCCTAAACTCCTACAACCGTGAGGGCATGTGAGGGCCGTTGTTCGGTCTTAGGAGGGTTTAGGCTGAAGGCTCAGCATTCACGAGGGCCTGTTGGGGTTCAGGGTTTATTTCATTTGTTGTTTGTGTTTTTGTGGTTACGGTTTTTGTCGCCCTGCACTCCAAGCTGCCAGGGTGTCGGTTCCATCGTTTCCGTAGGTCGTTGCATTGCGCGAAAGCTACTGTACTCTAAATAGCATTCTTCATGATTCGTATAGTTGAGTTATTCGGTTAATTACGTACCTCACATAGTCAACCTTCAGCCGTGAACCTCGAACCTCCGTCACGGAAAAGG